CTCAGAGGCCTGGCCGCCCTAATCACTAACCCTAAACCCCAAACCCCAAACCCTAAACCCTAAACCCTAAACCCTAAACCCTAAACCCTAAACCCCTAAACCCCTAAACCCCTGAAACCCTTCGGAAGGTCCCAACTCTTGCTTGGAAAAGTCCTGAAAGTCGGTGTTCTCATACCGGGAAACGACCTCAGCTCCCAGACCCAGACCCCTACACCGATCTCTTCCGTGAGCGAGGACCTTCAGGGCGACTTCAAAGGAGAATATTCATGCGTTATACTACATTATACAATACCATGCTATGATAATATACTATAAATTATTCATTATGTGTATATCATATATCATAGATGATCATGCATCCTTAGTACATGAAGCTAGGCGCTAGGAGCATGGTGGGAGCATCTGAGATTGCCAGGGCCGGCGCCACGACGGCAAACATCTCCAAGGGAGACCTAGTTCATGGTTGGGGTAGTATTAAAAATTTAAACTTATATTCCGTATTGGGTTTAAGTACCCTTAAAAATGTAAAATGTTACCCAACTATGACAAAGAGACCGCAGCGGCTGCACCACAGCAGCCAGGGAGCCCTGGCTGCAAAGCACCAGGCGAACCATGATACACTATAATACACTATAATATACTCTCATATACTATAATATACTATAATATACTATAATGTACTATAATGTACTATAACATACTATGATGTACTACAAGATTCTGACTGGAGAACACTGAAGAACGGTTTAGGGTTTCGAGATTCTGACTGGAGAACACTGAAGAAGGGTTTAGGGTTTAGGGTTTCGAGATTCTGACTGAAGAACACTGAAGAATTATATTAAGTATGCTATAATTTACTCAAGCGTTGACAAGTCAGGACTGGTTCCACGACACCCGCAGCGGATGTGCAAAGCAGCAAAACCTTGTAGATGATAATGGGGATCACCTCACCCTTCCCGTCATAACGTTCGTAGTATTAAGGCATAACGACTAGGCTTCTAGGATTTGCAGTCTTCGTACCTGCTGTCATGATTGTTCAGCAATGTTCAGCATATCTGCTGCTGCTCTTTGAATGCCCTAAACCCTAAACCCTAAACCCTTAGTTCTCCTAGTATCGTAGTCAGTATCATGCAGTGAGCTTCGTCTAACATGCGGGCCTCAATCATTAGACGAGGGCGTTGGGGACGCTATGCTTTAATGATAAAGGGACTACAAGGGAATCCTGAGATTGAGACATCTGTAGTAACAGTCTCTCAGGCTCTGTGCGCCCAAGGCTGGCCCGGATATAGGAAAAAGGAGCAGAATCATGCAGAGGCAGTTCGCAGGAATGTAGATTCTTGAAAATACTTACGGGTCTTGCGGTACTTTCAGAGTTTGGGGCCACCGAGGCTCTAGAATACCCGGACTCTCCCCTCTAAACCTTAAGCCTTAAGCTGCCTCTGTTTGGGGCGTCCAGCCTCCTTCACCTGCATGTCCTCGATCATGCTGCCTTTGAAGGCCTCACAACCAGGCCCACAGCGAGAATGGCCAATGTGATTTGCGTTTAGGGTTTAGGGTTTGGGGTTTAGGGTCCTAGTGTGCCATAGTTTTACACAGACTATAATGGAACATGGCGGTCTAGCGTGCTACACGTAAATTACTTACGGACCATAATGGAACATGGCGGTCTGTTGTGCTGTAGTTAAGCTGTATATCATCCATAAGAAAATATGGGGTCTGTTGTGCTATAGTTATATGCGGACTACGAAGGGAATATGTGCGTGCATTATATGATAGGGACTGGAAAGGAAAAGAGAGGACACTTCAGCTGAGACGCAAGGTCACAAGGAAGTAGCTGCCAAGCTCGCGGCGCTTGCAACCAGATTGCCAAAGGAGCCCATCTCCGTGATGTGCCTGGCAGAAGAGAAGTTGAGGGTCGAGGGTGCTTTTTTCGTGTAAAGGCTGGCGGTTGAAGGGTCCGAGGTTGTGGTGTTCGGGATTTAGGGTGTATCGTACAAACGCATCATGCACGCCAGCCGGCATACCTCAAACTGCTTGTCATGAAAAGCACCCAGCAGCCTCAAGCCACTCTGAAACCGCGGCACAACAACAGGAAGCCACCGCAAAGACAAAACGTCCCAAATAAACACCCCTAGACCCCAAGAGCTTCGGGCCTGAACTGCAATGCTCCAGTCGAGGTCATCGTGATCGTGTCCTGCTTTGCTGAAGCCCCTTCGAGTGAGGAAGCAGAACCAAAGGCTGTGTTAGAACAGGCTGCTGAAAACACGCAGAGTAGGAGAAGCACCACCACTGGTTGTAGTGCGTCGCAGTCGCAGCAGCATCAGCAGCAGAGGCACCACCCTAAGCATGAGCAGCAGCTGCAGCAGCAGTCGTGGTGGTGGTGGTGGTGGCGGCGATAGTAGTGGAAGTAATAGAAGTAGAAGTAGAATTAGCACAGGCAGTAGTCGTCGTCGTCCTTGTTGTCGTAATTAGCACCAACGAACCAACAGTAGCGGCAGCACGAGCAGGAGGAGGAGCAGCAGCAGCAGCAGCAGCAGCTGTAGGACATGATGCAAATGAACCATGGTGACAAACCAACGAGGCAATTGCGCAGGAGATGCAGCTGTACTAGAGAGACGACCAGGGACCAGGGAAAACGTGTTACAACATGCTTTTTGATATTTCGAGGGAACAACTCTCGCTTGATGTCTAAACTCTGCAAAACCAATCCCGACAATGAAGCATACCGTAGTGTAAACCCCAAATAACAATACCTTATCTATGGGGACCCCTCAATAAAGAACCCCATCCTTTCTCAAAGCCTGTCTATCTGCAGTTTGGAGTTGTGCCTGGAGGTCGAGCGCAGACAGCACCGCTCCGGAGCTGTCCACGACGTAAATGCGGCCGTTCTCACCCAAGTGGCCCTGAATAGTCGGTGAAAACAGCGTGTATGTATTTATGTATGTATGTATGCATATAACATGCACACATACATATAATATGTATACAAATAATAGACACAGACACACACACACACACACAGACAACATGCATTTACAGAGACAGGTTCGGGGATTTCGATTCGCGCACTCGCAGGGGGCAGGCACGGATTCATGGGCCGGGCCTGTTCGGGGGTTTAGAAGTTCAGGCTAAAGTTTGATGTCTTTGTGGACAATTTCGGGCTTAGGTGAGCCAACCCGGTGGGTCATGCTGCCGAGATGAACGCAATACTTCGGCCGATTGGGGGGTTTGGGACTTGAGGACAAAGGGGTTAGTTGGGGCTTCGGAGTTCCAAGTCCTCCGGTAGACTGTTCATGGTGAAAGCTTCAGCATGTGTAGGAGCTAAGTTTCAACTTTGCAGTCCTCCAAGGACGATGATGCGACTTAGAGTTTAAGCAAGGCCGAGGCTTCGGGATTTGGACTCTCGCAACTCGGACTAGAAATCCCGAGTCTGCTTTTTGCAGACCACAATACAAGCACAACAACAATGAGAAAAGACGCGGAGGCACTTCAAACCTTGTGGTCCAGACGTTGTTTTCATGGTTCCGGCCCGCCAGCACTCGCACTCTCAAACGTTGCTCTGGTCGCCGGCCCACAACTGTAGCTGGTCAAGAAAACATGTAAGTGTTGCTCCGAGCACCGAGGACGGAAACTAAGAAGCCGACATCACGTAGAAGATCCCCCGTCAAGGCCATTACCTGGCGCAATAGGAATCAATGGCTACGCCCTTCTGCAGATTGAGATAGGCACCCTTACCATGGACGTGCGCAGAAGCATCAGGACTTGGCAGAACTACCGCCGACTGCCTCCACCGAGATCTGGCCACACAAAATTTCTTTGGTTGCAGACCATGCCTGAGCAATGAATCTGAAGTGTCAGTCTGTGACCTGTGGTCCACATGCGCTGACTATGGGAGTACTACGACATACGACTTTGACGTGAAATTGAAAAGTCATTGAGGTCGGGCACCTCTGGCAGCGGCTGCCGGAACAACAACCTGCGGTCTGCTGTAAGGAGCACACAATCTCGCAACATGGCACCTGCGGAGAGAGGCAGGCCTCACCGTTGGATACCAAACCACCGAACTGTCGTTCTGGCCTCGCATAGCTGCGTGCGAATCCACCGATGCATCAACCACGGCAGCTGAACAAATGGACCAATTGCTGAGCCAGTTTGCGCGCGCCAGGTGCCAGCATCGGCGTGGTAAACCACTGTTGAAACGCACCCGCCTGTCACATGGGCGGCGAATGTTCCGGCATGCTGCGCGAATACGTCATGTCCCACCCGCCCCAAAACCCTTCTGCGCTGTCGGCGGACCTGCTTGCTGAGTTGGATCATCTGCTGCTGTGTCATGATGTCTTGATCTGCACCTGCCAAGGGGCAACGGAAGATCGACTCCAAGCTTGCAGTGACTGCAAGACGTGTGTTGTCAATTAGAAGAAGGCTTGATAGTAAGTTAGGGTGGATTACAGTATGTTGTACAGGAACCCTACTGGAAGGAATAATGTAGGTATTCTTCGGGCTTCCGTAGTATGGCAGCAAGCGCACTACAATCCTTTTTTCGCTCAAGTCTTTCCTTTTCTCCTCCTGGCAGCGTCCTTTCTGTTGCCATCGACGAACCTTTGCTGGCCAAGGAATCTTGAATCTGTGTGTGTGTGTGTGATTGTGCTCGGTGACCCTGCTGGCTAGGCACCAGGGAATACTCGCACCAGCAAGAAGCAACCAGTCTGAAGCACCTTTATTCCAGCTGAGGAGCATTTGCATGCACATTGCCTCAGATGCCCAATCCAACACAAAGTCCGAAGCTTTTGATGGCTTCAAACTTGTCAATCTATTGCTTTTAAGCGTTGAGGTCCAGGCAAAGGTGTCCCTCTCCTCTTCGTCATTCAGCTCGAAGGCAATAGCTTGTCCTTCTTCCTCAGCACAAGTGAGAGAGATTGCAGATACATGCAGTGTGGCATGCGGTGTGCAGAATGATGTGGCTGTTAGGCTGATGCTGGTAGCCTCACCCCCATTACATGGCATTTTATGATGATATCCTACTACAGTCTGCTATGCTATACTGTAGCTATACTATACTACACTAAAGTTGCAATAATACAACACGTTATACTATACTAGACTACAATAAACCTTAAATTATAGTAGGGATCCCTAATATGCTTTCAGGTACATAATATATCTTGGACTACAATAATAAAATTCTGGTTGCTCCGAGGATCAAGGACCAAGGTCACGGACAAGTCGGTGACTGGCAGCTCGATGTCCTCTGCGACGTCTTGTCCGACAAAGATCCTCGGCTCCGTATGCCCGAGAGCATACGCCTAAACCCTAAACCCAGAAATGCCGAAGGAACCCTAAACCCTAAACCCAGAAATGCCGAAGGAACCCTAAACCCTAAACCCAGAAATGCCGAAGGACCAACTTCACAAGCAGGCCGTGGACTTCATGCGCGGCGAATTGGACTCCCAAGGCGAGCAAGAACAAAACGAAGCTGGCTGAATATGCGGGAGTTTGAGAGTTTCGATTATCCACTTTGTCAAGGTGCCTCTAACTCGAAAGCAGAATAGACACAGCAAAAAGCGCCGATCTCTGCAGAAGTTTTGAAAGACTGCACATTCCACAGCGACACGGTGTACACAGCGTGACGTCGTTCTGTGTGAAAGTATACTGGAAACATGATTATAATGGGCGTTGCAAATTAGACTCGGGTTTTGGGTGTATTCTACGAAGTTCATACAAACGAGCCCTGAAAAACACTGATTTTCCAACTAGTAAGGCCCTTGTAGTGCGTCGGCTCGGTTACTGCCCCGGGTCGTGAACTGGAGGTTCTGAACGGTAGAACGAACTGTGAGTTTTAAAGGACTAGCCGACCTGCAATGGATTTTCTTTCTTGCCTCTTAGGAGATGCGGCAGATCGCGGCGGGATTTGGCAGCCGCGGTAAGGCGAAGACTTAGGCAAGAGTGCCTTTGAACCCCCGCATGGCTGCAGACTATTCCGCTTGTCATTTACTGGCATATATCACAGTTATTGCAACTACGATGGCACTCATGAATACGCCTGCTATTGCACTTGCGATGAAATTACGATGTCTGTTGAGTGCGAGACTGGAAAAACAGTTGCTGGTGTTGTGTGCTACAAATGCTTTTGTGTTGAGCATGATGGCTTCTACATCCTACTCTTGTTCATGGAGTTCTGAAAGCTAGAATTTAGAAGAACCAAGGACCAAGAAAGACAATAAATGGAAACAAGGTTTAGAGTGACAGTTTGGTCTTCGGTCCAGCCGGGTCTCAGTACCCAGGTGGTACGTACTACGAACATGCGTGAGCGCATGTATGTTTAAGAGAGAGAGAGTGTGTGTGTGTGTGTAGACATGTATATATATATATACATGTGTATATATATATATATATAGAAATACATATATATATATATATGTATATTGATAAGCTACGTATATAAATACATCCATCGTTCCATCCGTCCATCCATCCTCCATCCAAGCATGCATGCATCGAGGACATGCATCATACATAAATCGTCGTAAAGACACATACATACATACATACATACATACATACATACATACATACATACATACATACACATACATACACATACATACATACATGCATACATACATACATACATACGTACGTACGTACGTACAAACACATACATACATACGTACAAACACATACATTACATATATACGTACGTACAAACACATACATTAATTACATACATACATACATAC